AATCAAAATCTTCGTCATTTACATTATCGAACATGCTCGACTTTGAGCAATTACCGGAGCACTTCCCACACGCTTCAACTTCAATTTCTCCTTCTCCTTCTCCTTCTCTTTACCCTTATCTCTTTCCTCTCGTTTCATACTGGTCATCGGTCGCTGCATTTCAAGAATATGTCGACGTGGCTGTGCTGTCTCCACTTCAGGTATCGCCTGTTTTAGCCGGGCAAGCACCATTTCAAACTCTTTTCCACTCCATCGTTCTCGTCCATCACCTTCTCGTCGAAAATCAACATACGATCGCTCCGCAAACACCATCGACATCGGACCAGCCGGCGGCCACGACCCCGTCTCTTCGATCAGCATCGGAACGATCAGCTTTTGCAGTGCGTCAGCCAACGCCATTTCACGTCGACAGTTGATCGACTTTGTATACTTGGGTGTGACACACGACAGAATACACTTCGCATGTCGAATACCAGTGTCGATCTTCTCGAACAACGAATCACCGCCACCCATCTGAAAAATATCTAGCCAACATCGATAGCCGAGTCTGGTTAGTTTCTTGTACAGGACGACAATATCTTTCTGGTAGTCCCACTGATAAGAGATCATGATCTGTGGATGAGTGACAACGAGTGGGGTGTCGTCGTCGTCGTCGTCGCCACCTGTCTTCTTCTTCTTCTTCTGCTCTTTTGCTTCTTTGTCTTTCTTTTCATCCGGCGTTGTTGTTGTACTATCGGTGGTCGCAGTTGGCTGCAAAAAGATGAGATTATCCACACGAGGCACGAACCAGTTGCGATATTGGTCACTGATCATGTCCGGATCGGGTGCGACATGATAGCGAATCTGACCAAGTAGTTCAGTGAACTTGTCTGCCGGCCAGTAGTTTTCGTCGTTAGCTTTGCGATCAAAGAAGCGAATGTAGAGATACTCGCTCATGATGGGACCGAGTGCACCTTCTGGTGGCCAGGTTTGTTTTTCCATCTGCAGTGGAATCAGCGGTTTACCCGTGCTGATCGTCAGATGAACTTCACGCGAACAGTTGTCTGATTGTGCATACTTCTTGTTCAGGCAGCAGACCACCACTTTCGCCCCACGAATGCCTGCATCAATCTTGGCGAATAGCTTGTCACCGCCGCCCATCTCGCCCGTGTCCATCCAACATCCATATCCAGCTTGCTCGAGATGTGACTTCAGTCGAGTAACAGCTTTTTGTGATCCCCACTGATAAGAGAGAAACACCGGTGGCAGTCGTTTGATGTCGATGGGGAGATCGTCGGGAATGAGCTGACCAGCTACACTCATTGCACTGCGAATGATATCTTCGACATCTGATCGGCCGATGTCGCCGAGCATCTTTAGCAATCCATAGGTGGCTTCGTCTGCTTTATGTGTCATGTACCATTCGTTGAGCAGTGACATGGATGGATCGAGTTGCATGGCCCAGTGTTTGAGTTCGCTGGCTGAGTAGCCGAAGCGTTTGCCGAGCAGACGCCAATCATTGTCTGCACGAACATTGAGAAGTCGGCAAACTTGATGTCCCCATTCGGATGGCACATAGCTGAGTGTCTTGGCATCGATGCGTTCGATTTCTCGCGCGTGCAGGTCGACTTGTTGGTGAAGGTCGGTAATTTGTGTGTCGATATGATTGACATGAGCATCGAGATTGGTCATCTAGGAGCGCCAAAGGAGANCGAAGCGTTTGCCGAGCAGACGCCAATCATTGTCTGCACGAACATTGAGAAGTCGGCAAACTTGATGTCCCCATTCGGATGGCACATAGCTGAGTGTCTTGGCATCGATGCGTTCGATTTCTCGCGCGTGCAGGTCGACTTGTTGGTGAAGGTCGGTAATTTGTGTGTCGATATGATTGACATGAGCATCGAGATTGGTCATCTAGGAGCGCCAAAGGAGAAAGAAGAAGATGATAATTGTGGGTATTAAGATTATTGATGATGGAGTAAGTGACTGCGAATGCTTTGAATCTCATCTCGAACTGCTTGTATGTGAGAGACTATAGCATCTAATCGATTCTCGATTTCATCCAAGTAGTTGATTATGAAATCATTAGTAGTAGTAGCAGTAGGATTCACTTGACAATCGTGGCACAAGCGACAAGTGTCTACTAGAGAGTGGTCAGCGAGCGTGGTCTAGAAATGTGGAGGAGATATCAATCCGTGGTACACTCAACGTTGAAAGAACAGTGGTTGACATGAAAAAATAGAAGAGAGACATAACTTACATGTAGCTCTTGACGTTTCACTAGTTTCGTGACCTTGTCGACAGTCTTTTCCGTTTGAACTACTCTTGCTTCAATTTCTGTCATTTCATCAACTGTTCGATTCAATAGAGCCTGTTGTTCTTCACTCATCTTGTTTCCATCGATCATGTCAATCAGCGTTCGACACATCGAATTACTAGACTCATACAATACAAGATCTTCTCGCTTCTTCGCTAAAGCTGCCTTGTATCGACTGCCAATCGCCTGGCACGTCTGGAATATCTGGGTGCACAGATCAGATGAAAGTGTCTTTGTGTTTTTGATCAAGTCGATCAGCAGAGTGAGATTATCACCAGCTGCTTCTTCACCATTCAGCACGCTCGAGGCAATCACGTACTGGTGCAGACAATTGAACACATCGTATGTTTGCTGTTGCGAGGCTGCTTCGATGAGTTGTTGTCGATATTTGTCGAAGAGTTGTGGTTGTGCATTAGCAACAAGTGCAAGTAGTCGGTAGATAGAATCTGAAGCATATGGGATGTGATGATGAGAAGTGATGGAAGTGAATAAGTAGTCGATCTGTGCGGGCGTGATGAGTTGAGGGTTTGCTCGGAAGATGGTGTTGAGAAGAGAAGCGATGGAGGTAAGCTGTTGACCATTGTTATCGAAGAGAGCATGAATGAGATCGTCGAGCCGTTCATGAAATGGTTGTGGATTTTTCGGATAGACAATCTAAATGTATGTAAACAAATTACTGAGAGATATCACGAACATATTCTACCATTCCCTTCACGAATACGATCCTTCAGGGTTTGCACTTGAAGCATTAAGAGAAAAGAAGTAATTACTTACGATGAGCATTCCTAATAGCATTATTTGTTTATGGTCGATGATTTCTTGCAGTAACTGTTCACTATGATTAGCTGCAACGTTTGGATAATTCATCAAAACTATGCTCCAGTATGTACTCCACCATGAATGCATACTTTCTTCATTTTCATTGTAGACCATTTCAAATAGCCGATCAGCACACTTTTCATATACACGAGCATCATCTTCATTACCAAGACATGCTCCTACTGAAAACCATNGCATTATTTGTTTATGGTCGATGATTTCTTGCAGTAACTGTTCACTATGATTAGCTGCAACGTTTGGATAATTCATCAAAACTATGCTCCAGTATGTACTCCACCATGAATGCATACTTTCTTCATTTTCATTGTAGACCATTTCAAATAGCCGATCAGCACACTTTTCATATACACGAGCATCATCTTCATTACCAAGACATGCTCCTACTGAAAACCATAGAAGCAGAGCTGTAAGATATTCGACTGTTGCTGATCCATTTTCACGATGTAATGGATACTTCAATGCTGAGAGACAGTATCTTGCCACATCTTCATGTAAAGTCAGCGGAAGTGATTTCAGTTGCTTCATGCACCTTGTTATTAAAGTTGTTACTGCCTAGTAATCGAACAAAAACGAGCTGAGAAACGATGTAATACATTAGTTAATGACTGTCCTACCGATAGAAATCCCTCATAGGCATAATTAACTTCATATGAGTCCCCATCAAGATCGTTGACACGTTTCTGAAGAACCGCAACTAACTGTCGGCATGTGTCCGCGCTCACCCGCTTCTCATCAACCAGTTCAGTCATTAATTTACCCATTTCGTAGACATATTCTCTACATCCTTCACCATCAGCTTCATTCTTACCCGAGGTCCATTTCAGCACAGCTTCTAGTGCTGGCTCATGTGTTGCTTGTAGTATCGATGCATTCGTCTTTGTTCGATCATGCACTACTTTGAGAACATCCGCTAAGATCGACAGATCTTTGTTCTTATTGTCGCCTGACACCTCATCATATGCGCTGCACACTTGGATAAGATGAGTGAGATGTTTATCGAGTTGTTTCCATGGATAGAACTCACTAATTGCGACCAGACGTTTGATAGAAGGAAGCGCTTCCGGCACTTTCAGATCAGCAATGGCAATAATCAGATCAAAACAGCTCACTGCCAGCTTCTTGCTCGGCTTCTTCTTGGCTAGTTCGTATATGAATGGTGCGATGAGGAGCTTGCAAAACGAATGTCGACATTCGACATCAGTAACTGTTGAGCATAAACGAATGAACAAGTTAATGATTTCTTCGTGATTCGTGATTAATCCAAAGTGATGCACGATGGCATAGGTAAGAATAGAGTCAGCTTCTTTGATATTGTTGTGTACGACGAGCTGTTCGATGGCTGCATAGATATGAGAAGAGTTGCTTTTGAACAAGTCAGGTTGTCGTTGTAGTGACTGGGCTAATAAGTTGACATAGTCGNCAGTAACTGTTGAGCATAAACGAATGAACAAGTTAATGATTTCTTCGTGATTCGTGATTAATCCAAAGTGATGCACGATGGCATAGGTAAGAATAGAGTCAGCTTCTTTGATATTGTTGTGTACGACGAGCTGTTCGATGGCTGCATAGATATGAGAAGAGTTGCTTTTGAACAAGTCAGGTTGTCGTTGTAGTGACTGGGCTAATAAGTTGACATAGTCGAAGGCAACTGGAGGTGTAACTGCAGCTGATAGGTGTAGTTGTAGATCTTCTGGTGTGGCAAAAACGTCGAATATGGTAGGAAATGTTCGTGCAATAACGCACGAGATTTGTGACCAAATGGTTGACTCATGAGAGCGCAGTACAGCATGTCTGTGAAATAAAAAATGTTATGAATAAATTAGCGTGAAAGCGAAATAAATACTAGTTTTATATGATATCTATCCCAGAGTGGAAAGCGAAAAGATGTTAACGACTTTTACACTGACTGATTATTTTACCTGAATGGTTGTAGGAAAAGTAGACTCACTGCTCTGCAGAGAATTTTTAATCAACAGTCAATATTCGAATTGTAAAGCGGAGCTTAAATAAATACTGACGAACGTCGATGGAAAGAAGAAAGAAGGAATATTCATTCTTATCAGTCCTCTTGAAACAACAAGTAGTAAACAGAACTTTTCTTGTAAAAAATAACCTGTATAATTGTTGATAGCTGCTTCTCATAGTGTCCATTGTTTCTGATTTGTTTAATTTATTTCCATCACAGCTTAATTGGGAGAAAAGACTTCTTGAAACAAATTCTTTCCAATCTTCTTGCATCTTCTCGCTCAAATTGTTATTGGAAAAGTCCTGTTTTTGTAATGAGTAAAAAATTTGATCGATCAATGGTACAGCCCCATCGTTACATAGACATTCACCCAGTCGATAAAAATAATACATTTTCCGAATTAGTTTCAGATGAATAGTTTTATTCGTTTTTTGAGCATCTAACAGCCGACAAAAGATTCGCACTAATTCGCCGTTTGGTATCGAATGATCATTTGGTAGTTTATTGAGAGTTTGCTGAATAAAACTTGACTTGATTTCTTCGAATTCTTCATCATCAGCGAGAACGTAGTCAACAAGAGCGTCGAGACACTTTATTTTGCATGACGACCCATTATTTTCAGGAATATCCCGTGATAATTTATTCAATCGATCGAATATAGCCGGCCATTGATTGTTTAGTTCTGTGTTGTCATGAGGAACTTGACGAATGAACGCGTCCATACTGCGTTTTTCTCACAATAGTAAGAGAAATCAAAGAATGCTTTGTTAATGTTAAGAAACACGTCGACGGAGAAAATTTATAAGCGAACGTAACTAAGCAGCGAAGAAAAAGAACTCTATCCTACTATCACAGACTATATGACGATAAAGAAAGAACGCGTGTTTTTGCATGCTAAAAAGAAAAGAGTGTTCTGTCGGTCAACACTTTTTGCCTTATTTTTAAGTATATCTTGTGTCAATATACGCATTTTCATCGACTGATAGAGAATAGAGCAAAGGAATCATATTATATTCATTTGTGACTATTTTGGATAATGCTCGATGAGAACAATGAGAGAACTAATTCATATGTATTCTGTCGAGAGAATATTGACGACCGTTATTTACTTTGCGTGTTAACTTTCTTTGCTATCAACTAATCGAGTGAAAATAATAGTTGAACGTGGTTATAGAACAGTATTGATTCAGCATAATTACGAGAAATTCTGACGAATGTTGTTGACGAGTCGACAGATATGCAATGATATGTGCACCTATAGGTCTTTTCTAGCTTGCGAGAAAACTTGTTCTATATTTTCCGTGAAATAGCAATATGATTATATACAGATGTCAACCTTCATAATAAAACGTGTGAATCGACTTTTTATAAAGGCGCATAAAATATGTTCACCGTTTATTGTAATAAATATAAGCTTTATCTTTCATACATCAATACTGTGCGCTAAAAATACAACTCAATAATACCATGAAATCATACGTTCACCACTCATCGACGGTGCAAATATTATCGCACGTACTTTCGTGTTCATTAATATTCCAATGATTACGAATATAGCTTCCACAACAACATTTATTTCATGCAAAGATGAAAGCTTATGCATTCTCAACACAAATCCACTTTTCATAGTCGCTTTGTATTACATTATTAAAACGAATTCAATCAAATCACAAAAGTTTCCAGATGGTCAAAATCAAAATCAAAATCTTCGTCATTTACATTATCGAACATGCTCGACTTTGAGCAATTACCGGAGCACTTCCCACACGCTTCAACTTCAATTTCTCCTTCTCCTTCTCCTTCTCTTTACCCTTATCT